CACAGTTATTTCGTAGTGCATTTCTTTTAGACAATAAATGAAAATAAAAAAAATCCCACCTGCGCTTTCTCAATAATATTTTTACAGTGTGTTGTACTACTTTTGGGACAAATTATATCAAAATTATAGAAAACTTCATCGGCTCTAACTCAAAATATGGACAATTTCATGCTAAGGCGGTCTTCAAATCTTTTGACAGCTTCCGAAGTGCTAATTTTAACATTTTTCAGCTGGACCAAATCACTACTTTACTTTAAAATTCATGACCCAAATTTTTTTACAGTGTCATTTCACCCCACTACTTACTATTTGAGTCATAAAACATGGAGCAATAAATTCGGAAGGGGTATAAAAAAATCGACAAGAAACACACTGTCCACACTAGGGACTATATTCGTACCGGACCTAATAGGGTAGAAAAAGTTGACCAATCTTAATGAAACTTAATATGACCAAAGCTTATTAAATTATAAGACTGCCTACAAAGTTTCATGGCAATAGGATATATATTATAGACAATATGACTAATTCTATATTCAACTTTGAGTGTTAAATTAAGACGTTAAAATTGAAAATTTTCAACTATCAACATTTGGGGCTTAAAAAATTAAAATGTTGCAAAAAAATACTTTTGAAATGCCTTAATATATAATATATCATGTATTAAAAGCAATAGAGTACTCATTTGATTTATCAGACTGATCATAATTATTAAAAAGTCAAATTTATATGAGCCTGTGGCTAAAAATGGAGATTTTCCAATGAAGGGGGGCCTTACATGAAGATGTAATATTTTCCAGCAATTTTAAATTTGTAAAGCTTTTTGGTTATAAATAATCCTTACATATGTATTTAATGTACTTTAAATGGAAAGAAAACTTACAAATAACATATCACATTAGTTTAAAAGGGTCTTAGGCCAAGTAAGACTGAAAATAATTTAGGGTCAATTTAGGCCGTATCACATATTTTCATTTAAAAATGCATATTGAAGCTATATGAAATAAAATTTTGTGTCTTTTCTATCATTTCTATACTCAGGTGTCATGATACAATAAATCTGAGCACAAAAAGACTCTTGCATTCAACTTTTTTTGCAGACAGTATGGTCTGATACAAAGATTTTTCACTTTTTAGTGAAAAACATGCATGCAATTTTAGTCTCAACAGCTAGGCTTATATTTGAACCACTTGCTATGCTACAGAAGAAAAGAAAGATATTAGGTGACATAAAACAGGTACAAAAGACATTGTTAAGTGCTTTTTAATGGACTTCAACTTTTATGTTCCAAGCTCCTCACATTTAACTTGATCCAAACAGGGCGTTAGACGAGGATCATATATACAACACATTTTGCACATATTGTCTAAGATAATCTTCTTTTCTGTAGATTCAGAGTTCTCAAATGAGTAATACAACTGGATTGAAGCATAGAAACACAAATATTGACTCATAAAAACCTGTCAGATAGAAATTCAGAATGCCACTTATGCATCAAAATTGAAAAAGCTATGAAATGCTTATTTTGACCATAAAATGCCAAAATTGGTCATTTTTGCAGAAATTCTATCAAATAAAAGTTTAAATCCTTTAGTTTTATGCTATTTGATAAATTGACACCATCAAATCATTCAGGGAAGTTGCAAAAGTACAGATTCTATATTTCCTGATTTCACCTCTTAGGTCCGAGTACACAGTTATTTCGTAGTGCATTTCTTTTAGACAATAAATGAAAATAAAAAAAATCCCACCTGCGCTTTCTCAATAATATTTTTACAGTGTGTTGTACTACTTTTGGGACAAATTATATCAAAATTATAGAAAACTTCATCGGCTCTAACTCAAAATATGGACAATTTCATGCTAAGGCGGTCTTCAAATCTTTTGACAGCTTCCGAAGTGCTAATTTTAACATTTTTCAGCTGGACCAAATCACTACTTTACTTTAAAATTCATGACCCAAATTTTTTTACAGTGTCATTTCACCCCACTACTTACTATTTGAGTCATAAAACATGGAGCAATAAATTCGGAAGGGGTATAAAAAAAATCGACAAGAAACACACTGTCCACACTAGGGACTATATTCGTACCGGACCTAATAGGGTAGAAAAAGTTGACTAATCTTAATGAAACTTAATATGACCAAAGCTTATTAAATTATAAGACTGCCTACAAAGTTTCATGGCAATAGGATATATATTATAGACAATATGACTAATTCTATATTCAACTTTGAGTGTTAAATTAAGACGTTAAAATTGAAAATTTTCAACTATCAACATTTGGGGCTTAAAAAATTAAAATGTTGCAAAAAAATACTTTTGAAATGCCTTAATATATAATATATCATGTATTAAAAGCAATAGAGTACTCATTTGATTTATCAGACTGATCATAATTATTAAAAAGTCAAATTTATATGAGCCTGTGGCTAAAATTGAGATTTTCCAATGAAGGGGGGCCTTACATGAAGATGTAATATTTTCCAGCAATTTTAAATTTGTAAAGCTTTTTGGTTATAAATAATCCTTACATATGTATTTAATGTACTTTAAATGGAAAGAAAACTTACAAATAACATATCACATTAGTTTAAAAGGGTCTTAGGCCAAGTAAGACTGAAAATAATTTAGGGTCAATTTAGGCCGTATCACATATTTACATTTAAAAATGCATATTGAAGCTATATGAAATAAAATTTTGTGTCTTTTCTATCATTTCTATACTCAGGTGTCATGATACAATAAATCTGAGCACAAAAAGACTCTTGCATTCAACTTTTTTTGCAGACAGTATGGTCTGATACAAAGATTTTTCACTTTTTAGTGAAAAACATGCATGCAATTTTAGTCTCAACAGGCTTATATTTGAACCACTTGCTATGCTACAGAAGAAAAGAAAGATATTAGGTGACATAAAACAGGTACAAAAGACATTGTTAAGTGCTTTTTATACAAATTTAGTGAGGTCTTTATAATGGACTTCAACTTTTATGTTCCAAGCTCCTCACATTTAACTTGATCCAAACAGGGCGTTAGACGAGGATCATATATACAACACATTTTGCACATATTGTCTAAGATAATCTTCTTTTCTGTAGATTCAGAGTTCTCAAATGAGTAATACAACTGGATTGAAGCATAGAAACACAAATATTGACTCATAAAAACCTGTCAGATAGAAATTCAGAATGCCACTTATGCATCAAAATTGAAAAAGCTATGAAATGCTTATTTTGACCATAAAATGCCAAAATTGGTCATTTTTGCAGAAATTCTATCAAATAAAAGTTTAAATCCTTTAGTTTTATGCTATTTGATAAATTGACACCATCAAATCATTCAGGGAAGTTGCAAAAGTACAGATTCTATATTTCCTGATTTCACCTCTTAGGTCCGAGTACACAGTTATTTCGTAGTGCATTTCTTTTAGACAATAAATGAAAATAAAAAAAATCCCACCTGCGCTTTCTCAATAATATTTTTACAGTGTGTTGTACTACTTTTGGGACAAATTATATCAAAATTATAGAAAACTTCATCGGCTCTAACTCAAAATATGGACAATTTCATGCTAAGGCGGTCTTCAAATCTTTTGACAGCTTCCGAAGTGCTAATTTTAACATTTTTCAGCTGGACCAAATCACTACTTTACTTTAAAATTCATGACCCAAATTTTTTTACAGTGTCATTTCACCCCACTACTTACTATTTGAGTCATAAAACATGGAGCAATAAATTCGGAAGGGGTATAAAAAAATCGACAAGAAACACACTGTCCACACTAGGGACTATATTCGTACCGGACCTAATAGGGTAGAAAAAGTTGACCAATCTTAATGAAACTTAATATGACCAAAGCTTATTAAATTATAAGACTGCCTACAAAGTTTCATGGCAATAGGATATATATTATAGACAATATGACTAATTCTATATTCAACTTTGAGTGTTAAATTAAGACGTTAAAATTGAAAATTTTCAACTATCAACATTTGGGGCTTAAAAAATTAAAATGTTGCAAAAAAATACTTTTGAAATGCCTTAATATATAATATATCATGTATTAAAAGCAATAGAGTACTCATTTGATTTATCAGACTGATCATAATTATTAAAAAGTCAAATTTATATGAGCCTGTGGCTAAAAATGGAGATTTTCCAATGAAGGGGGGCCTTACATGAAGATGTAATATTTTCCAGCAATTTTAAATTTGTAAAGCTTTTTGGTTATAAATAATCCTTATACATATGTATTTAATGTACTTTAAATGGAAAGAAAACTTACAAATAACATATCACATTAGTTTAAAAGGGTCTTAGGCCAAGTAAGACTGAAAATAATTTAGGGTCAATTTAGGCCGTATCACATATTTACATTTAAAAATGCATATTGAAGCTATATGAAATAAAATTTTGTGTCTTTTCTATCATTTCTATACTCAGGTGTCATGATACAATAAATCTGAGCACAAAAAGACTCTTGCATTCAACTTTTTTTGCAGACAGTATGGTCTGATACAAAGATTTTTCACTTTTTAGTGAAAAACATGCATGCAATTTTAGTCTCAACAGGCTTCCCTACTGAAAATGTAAAGTGGGATTTCACTGAAAATACCAGTGGAGTTTCATCAGAGTTCCATTGGAATACCACTGTATTACCACTGGGAAATTTGGTCGGGATTTTCATTGGACATTCATTGTTTTCCATTGGGATATCAGTGGAATATCCAGTGGGATTCCGGTGAATACTCGAGTGGAATACAGTGGAAATTCCATTGGAATACCAGTGAAAACTTCGTTGGAATACCATTGTTTTCCCACTGAACATTTATTGTTTTCTACTGGGATACCAGTGGTAATTCCATTGGAAATTGTAACAATCAACCGAAGAAAACCAGTGATATTTCAATGGAAGTTGACAATTCCACTGAAATGTTAGATATCATTTTGCATGCACTGCTTATTTTTGAATGAATTAATAAGAAAACTTGAAATAAGACAATAACCATTTTAATGCAAGTCAACAATTAAAGAAATTACAACAGTTTATACATCATCCACATTTAAGACCTTTTAAACGAAAAGATCAACCTCTTTAAAATATTAACGTTGATAAATTATCATTTTTTAGTCAAACAGTTATAGGACAAACGCCAAATTTCATCCTAAAATTTAGGAGATATCAAATTGCACAATTTATTGATGTTAATTAATCCATTCAACATATTACAACCTCTTATCAGACTCCCTACTGGTAGAGATCAGATAGTCAGATGAATGGGTATGAAACATTTATCTGTGACCATGGTAATCAGACCACTGACCACACAGACAAATGTTTAATTCAGAATTTGTAGAAGAACACTATTTTATAGGACCTTATAGAGTGAAATCTGTTCAAGGAATACAACACATGTGTTAATAATGTATATATATATATGATTAAGGAGTTCTTTGTATATATGTTTGAAATTAGTTACAGAAATGAATTACTAAATTAATAGTGACACAAGCATATTAATTGCGATTCAAGGATTTTGAAAAGGGGTGGCACCAAGGCACCATTAGGAGTATCTACATCTGAATATGACCTTGTTTTAAGTCTGGAATTTAAATTATTCGAAAATATTTTGTATTTACATGGTTATCTAGAAAATAAATCAAAATTTGCTCAGGGTTCAATCTCTTAATTATTTAGAAGCTTCAGCCAAAGTTTTGTAAAATTATATGAAGGTTTGGCAAAATTATTCAAAATCTTTCACAACAGAATATACCTAAAAAGTTGACTGCCAAAAAAACAATTTATTTTTAAATTACGAAAGAATGGGTGGAAAATTTAAAATTTTATTCTGCATGTATTTATTGAGTATGAAGAATCTTCTTTTAAAGTTTCCTGAAAATGAAGGTTTGAGAAAGGTTATTGATATTTTGTTAACTTAACCCTAAACGGTATCAAAATGTTTATTAAACAAAAAGAGTTCTAATCATCAGCAAAATACAGAAAAGTTACAGTAAAATAAAAAAAAAAAACCAAAAACTTTATTCTTAAGTTGCCATTGTTTTGGTCATGATGAAAATTCTGTCTCTGTTCATAAAATTCCATTAAGTTATTGATGTTTGGAAAACTTTAACCCAAGACTAAATCTAAATATTAACTCCAAAAAAGCCTTTTATCAATAAAATAAGGAAAATTGATACAATTGTTTTATATTTTACTCTTGATCTTGAAGAACCTAATTTATAATATCATTCAATGATGCTTCGACAAAATTATAGATGTCTAAGAAAAACTAAAACATCTGACTGTATCTAAATAAAGTCATCATAAATACCAGGCATCAAATTTTGAACATCTGATGTACGTTTAGTCTACAAAAGACTGATCAGTGACGCACGAATCAAAAATGTTGAAAGACCAAAATAAAGTACGAAGTTGAAGAGTATTGGGGACCCAAAATTCCAAAAGATTTTGCAAAATACAGCTGAGGTAATCTATTCCTGAAATAAAAAATCCTTAGTATTTAGAAAAATTCAAAGTTTTAATGTAAAGAGTTAATTTATAAAAACATTAGTGCAAAAAAACTTATCACAGTAAAATATTGAAAAAAGAAAAAAAAAATCTCTTGATGCTGTCATTGTATAGAAGAAGCGTCTGTCAGTTAAATAAGTTCTGTGAAGGTTTAACAAAAATGTTGACGTTTTAAAAAAGAAAATAACCAAAGAATGCATCTAAATGTTGATGACACGACTAGAGAAGGATTAGTTTAATTTCAAATCAATATTTTATTTTTCAAAAGTGCTCAAATTACAATTATACAAAAGAAATACAGGGATTTGGAAACAAGATGAACTTACATAAATCCGTTCCCATAGAAGGATTGTTATGTCTAGCTTTGGCGACTTTAGTTGCAGGCTAGACAAATAATAAATTGTAAATCTGGAAATATTAAGAATGTCAAGATTTGTTTTTGGTGAAAGACATACTTGTAATGAATTTTGAACTACTTTATAAAGTTTTAAAACTTGTGTTTGATTTTTTACAACCATTATTTAGAGAAAACGTTTTCAAAGTGTGCCTGTGGTACGAGAATATCAAATTCTATAACTTCTCAAGTTTCATTCCAGTATACAAAATTTTTTTTACAAAATCAGTCATTTCTTATTCATATTTGTATTGAAGATTTAGTTATACGCTTAAATATAAAAATAAAATACTAAACACAAATACTCAGTTTTCAAATGAGAATGTTTCAATTGCCTTGTATTAATTTAAAAAAAGGAGGTCTTGTGTATATAAAATTCAAAAGTCAGAAGAGTTTGCTACTAGCTGATTCTGATAACAATCTATTAATATGGATTGTAAAAGTACTGTTCCATAGTACACATGTGGTCATTTCTGGTCAGTCATCTAAAATATTGGGGTAATCAGAAGATTCCCTGCTGTGGAGACAAATAAACAAGTGTTTGAATAAATGCTGTTAATTGGTTAATGTTCTGGCTATTTTGCTGAAGAAATTCAAAATCTGGCGTTTGTCCTATAACTGCAAAGATGTATTTACTTAATTGTACATGTAAATCATTTTTCTGGTTAAATCATTCATAAGTCCATGGTAACTTTTGGTCATCTTGAAATCTTTCACAAATGGTTTTAATTTTCAATTTTACAAATTTGTTTATTGTGCATTAACCAAACAAAAATGTCCAGTTTACATGCATACGAAATACTTTGTCAGTTTGGTCAGTTTTCTTCATCATCCATTGATATTATTCATGAATTAAGTCCAAAGTTTCTGCATTCCAATCCTGTTCCATTAAGTCTTCATTGATTAATCTGAAAGAAAAAAAATCATACATCATAACATGCATAGAATTTTGAATTAAAATAACATTACAATACCATGCTCCAGTCTGCAATTATTCAAAAATATATGTTACTGGCATATTTTATTTGTGTTTGTGTGTAATTTATTCACAACATTTTTACACTAAGAGCAATTTAGACACATGTATGTCTATTGTTGAAGACTATGTGTTCTCTAGATATCTTTGGCTATAGTTGTTGGGTTGCTGTCTCTTAGACTTATAACACACATCTCTTTTTATCAAAATGGACTTTTATTGTTCATGGATCAGGTGTCTCTCAAAGCCAAATAAAATAGTATGTGTGGTTCTAGTTACATTTAAAAAAAAATTAGGGTAGTTAGAATTTTTTTTATTTTATGGTTTTTGTCGAGCCTGCGACTTTTGTCGCAGAAAGCTCGACATAGGGATAGCGATCCGGCGGCGGCGGCGTTAGCTAACTTCTTAAAAGCTTTATATTTTAGAAGATGGAAGACCTGGATGCTTCATACTTTGTATATGGATGCCTCATGTTACGAAGTTTCCGTCAGTCACATGTCCAATGTCCTTGACCTCATTTTCATGGTTCAGTGACTACTTGAAAAAAAAGTTCAGATTTTTTGTAATGTTAAATTCTCTCTTATTATAAGTAATAGGATAACTATATTTGGTATGTGCGTACCTTGCAAGGTCCTCATGCCCGTCAGACAGTTTTCACTTGACCTCGACCTCATTTCATGGATCAGTGAACAAGGTTAAGTTTTGGTGGTCAAGTCCATATCTCAGATACTATAAGCAATAGGTCTAGTATATTCGGTGTATGGAAGGACTGTAAGGTGTACATGTCCAACTGGCAGGTGTCATCTGACCTTGACCTCATTTTCATGGTTCAGTGGTTATAGTTAAGTTTTTGTGTTTTGGTCTGTTTTTCTTATACTGTATGCAATAGGTCAGCTATATTTGGTGTATGGAATGATTGTAAGGTGTACATGTCTAGCTGGCAGGTGTCATCTGACCTTGACCTCATTTTCATGGTTCAGTGGTCAAAGTTAAGTTTTTGAGTTTTGGTCTTTTTTTCTAATACTGCATGCACTAGGTCAGCTATATTTGGTGTATGGAATGATTGTAAGGTGTACATGTCTAGCTGGCAGGTGTCATCTTACCTTGACCTCATTTTCATGGTTCAGTGGTCAAAGTTAAGTTTTTGAGTTTTGGTCTTTTTTTCTAATACTATATGCAATAGTTCAACTATATTTGGTGTATGGAAATATTTTATGATCTATATGTCAGTCACGCAGGTTTTATTTGACCTTGACCTCATTTTCAAGGTTCATTGCTCAGTGTTAAGTTTTTGTGTTTTCGTCTGTTTTTCTTAAACTATAAGCAATAGGTCAACTATATTTGTTGTATGGAAGAATTGTTAGCTGTACATGCCTGCCTAGCATGGTTCATCTGACCTTGACCTCATTTTCATGGTTCATTGGTCAATGTTTAGTTTACTTGGTTAATGTTAAGTTTATGTGACAGTTGTAATAAAGCTTTATATTTAGGACTATCAACATAATATCAATGATTAGTAAAGAAGGCGAGACATTTCAGCGTGTGCTCTCTTGTTTTTTACATTGAGTCTATCATGTCTATGGGAGCAACATTTTGACTTAAACAGTACTTACTGAAAAATGACAAAAAAATCTTTAGGGTAGGCTATTGTTAAGACTAAAAAAAAAGGTAGGTAAGGTAATTGGAACCACGCATATATTTTTATTCAGCCTCATATTATCTTTCCCTTTGTGTTGTGTTTGTTGTTGGTTTACTATCTGGTTGAAGCATACCAGACACCTCATTTTGTTCACATAATAGCCATGATTAACCATTGTGCATGATGATCAGATCAATGTTTTTGAGATGTGTTTACAGCTTATAGATGTGAATGATTAACATGATTAATGTATTTTTATTTCAAGTGTGGGAAGGATGAAAAAATAATTCAATAAGTACCTTTCAATAATCTTATACTCAAATTTCTTTTCTGCTGCTGGTTCGTTTGTTTTCATCGTGTTTTCATATTATTGAGTGGATATTGATCGATGCACAGTCATCATTTTTGCAGCTTTGTACCTTCACCATGATCAATCCCTTTTAATATATATGGACAACCTAAAAAAAATGTAAAAACATTTTATTAATCATTTTTAATTCTGGTCATGACCTGTATGCATCATATATTACTGATATTTATCATACAATGTACATATATAATTAAGAAGCTTCTTTCAGTTAAGTATAAAGACTCTAAAACACAATATTAACCTTTAGGGATTTTTTGTGTTGCATGTCCATCCAAATCAGAACATGACAAAATTAAGTTGAATGTGCCTGACATTGTGTAGTAAACTGTAAACATCTTTCCTTGATTGTGAAGGCACACAATGTAATTCAATATTGAATAATAAAATTATTATTACATTCCCACCTCCCCCTTTTCAGAACACCAAATGGTCATCCTCAAAGTGTGAACTAACAGAGCCCATGAATAAAACTAAAGGGGGTGTATATCTTTTTTTTTTAATTTTAATTAAAAATATTCATGATGTAAAAATCAAATGTAAAATCTCTTAAAAATTACCTGTATCTGCTGTACGTCTGCCCTACATCAGCACATCGTCTCATCGTAAATTCTTGGTTCAACAGCTAATGTCATACCTAAATGTTCTGCCTTTAATGTCTATTTCTTTATTTATCGAAGTTTGTTGAGTATTAATTATTATTAACATGATTAATGTAACCACAGCTGGACAATGCTGGACAGGATACATACTCGTACAATATTTTTAGTTTCAAATTTGAACACATTCCGTGTATTAATGATAACGACTATCTGATTGGCCGATCGGAAATCCCGGAAATAGAGTTATCCAATCAAATCAGCGGTTATATATATAGTCTGGTAGAAAAAAATGGCAGCCTCCATGAATGTAAACATGTGTGTTGAAAAACAACATTATAGACTACAGTTTCACGAATTTTCTGCTCAAATTATGCCAAAACACTGACATTTAGCGTACAATTGATTGGAGCGGATTATATGTGAAATGTTTCTATAGATTAACTTATATGACCCGAGTTCCAGTGCCGAGTTCAGGACATGAAAATGATGAAAAATTCATCACACGGACAAAGTTAAGATACCGAAACAGTTTATAGAACAATGTGGAAAATGAAAGCCGTTCACTTTACTTTTCTCAAAAGAACAGTAGACCAGTAACAGTTAATGAACATGATGAAGTCAAAGGAGAAATAATTATAATATGAGGCAGGCATTACCTGTGAAAGGGGACGAAGTCTATATAAATTATTTTTTTTTAATTCAAACATATTTTAAGTTCTAAATCTGTTAAAAAAGAAACGGAAATACCGTAACGTTTCCGATTTTGGTTCTGTTGTTAGGGATTTTATATGTGACGTTATTTTAATTATGACGTCATGTTCAATGTAAACAAAGAAACGCTATCATCAGGTAACGTTTTTTCATATCAAAGAATAATTAGAAATGAAATTGTTATTGTGTTCCTTCCTATATTTTACTGGACTGATAAATATATATTTCACTCAAAGTCTCATGACAAACGAGACCGGAAGAAGGAAGTAGATTTCTGCGCAAATGCGGGAATTAAAAAAAGTTACAAAAAAAAAGTTAACGATTTTGAGTTCATTAGTACAATGAAAATTTCAGGAAATTTTCCCGATTTTTTTTTTTTTTTTTTTTTTATTGATTTTTCTACTGTAATAGGGGACTTCGTCCCCTTATTATTGTATACATGTAGACTGTAGTGCAGGGCAGTTGCCAGTACGGTCACTTGAAGAAAAAAACGGAGTTATCCTAACAATTCGTACAGTCTGAAGATAATTTCTGCAACAGATCTGTTTAAAACGGCCCTTTTAAGAGCCATGCACATTTTTCAAAAAGAATCTTAATTGTTTTTGTTCGTTAAATCAACCAGAATCTTATTCTCAACCCAATTTGATATAAAATATTCATTTCTTTATTTATATTATCTGATTATTGCACATTTAATTTTATTTCTTAATAGTTAAAATGTATCCTTTCAATGTGTCATACTCATAGGCTATATGGTGATGCATTATATTCACCCTACATCTGAGGAGCTACCATTTTACTTATTTTATATGAGGGGGGGGGGGTCTTTCAGACCAAATGATTATTTTCAATTTGTTACTAGGCAAGTGATTTCATATTACATTTAACCATGTAACATTTTTTGAACAAATGTTTCATATACATGTATATATGTAGGTTTATGAAATATTCATTACATCCCATATATTATCATGATTATAATATTTAATTTCTTATCAGGCCAGCAAATTATATGCTACAAATTAAATCCTTTATATAATAATCATGCACTTAATTATTTGAAAAATTTAAATTAGAAGTATATATTCCTTTAAATTTCTAAGTCCAAAATTCCACTGGAATATTTGCATTAAATCAAAACTCCACTGAAATATAAACAATAATATTCCACTGGAAATTAATTGGGAAATCTTTAGAAGTTTCATTGGAAATTTCACTGATTTTCCATTGGAATTACAGTGTGAAAAATATTCCAGATGTTTTGGATGAAATTCTAATGGGATTCCATCGGAATATTTTTTTCCACTGAATACCAGTGTAATTTCACTGGAAATCCAGTGGAATCCCGTACTCATTTTCAGTAGGGTTATATTTGAACCACTTGCTATGCTACAGAAGAAAAGAAAGATATTAGGTGACATAAAACAGGTACAAAAGACATTGTTAAGTGCTTTTTATACAAATTTAGTGAGGTCTTTATAATGGACTTCAACTTTTATGTTCCAAGCTCCTCACATTTAACTTGATCCAAACAGGGCGTTAGACGAGGATCATATATACAACACATTTTGCACATATTGTCTAAGATAATCTTCTTTTCTGTAGATTCAGAGTTCTCAAATGAGTAATACAACTGGATTGAAGCATAGAAACACAAATATTGACTCATAAAAACCTGTCAGATAGAAATTCAGAATGCCACTTATGCATCAAAATTGAAAAAGCTATGAAATGCTTATTTTGACCATAAAATGCCAAAATTTGTCATTTTTGCAGAAATTCTATCAAATAAAAGTTTAAATCCTTTAGTTTTATGCTATTTGATAAATTGACACCATCAAATCATTCAGGGAAGTTGCAAAAGTACAGATTCTATATTTCCTGATTTCACCTCTTAGGTCCGAGTACACAGTTATTTCGTAGTGCATTTCTTTTAGACAATAAATGAAAATAAAAAAAATCCCACCTGCGCTTTCTCAATAATATTTTGACATTGTGTTGTACTACTTTTGGGACAAATTATATCTAAATTATAGAAAACTTCATCGGCTCTAACTCAAAATATGGACAATTTCATGCTAAGGGGGTCTTCAAATCTTTTGACAGCTTCCGAAGTGCTAATTTTTAACATTTTTCAGCTGGACCAAATCACTACTTTACTTTAAAATTCATGACCCAAATTTTTTTACAGTCTCATTTCACCCCACTACTTACTACTATTTGAGTCATAAAACATGGAGAAATAAATTCGGAAGGGGTATAAAAAAAATCGACAAGTAACACACTGTCCACACTAGGGACTATATTCGTATCGGACCTAATAGGGTAGAAAAAGTTGACCAATCTTAATGAAACTTGGTATGACCAAAGCCTATTAAATTATAAGACTGCCTACAAAGTTTCATGGCAATAGGATATATATTATAGACAATATGACTAATTCTATATTCAACTTTGAGTGTTAAATTAAGACGTTAAAATTGAAAATTTTCAACTATCAACATTTGGGGCTTAAAAAATTAAATTGTTGCAAAAAAATACTTTTGAAATGCCTTAATATATAATATATTATGTATTAAAAGCAATAGAGTACTCATTTGATTTATCAGACTGATCATAATTATTAAAAAGTCAAATTTATATGAGCCTGTGGCTAAAAATGGAGGTTTTCCAATGAAGGGGGGCCTTACATGAAGATGTAATATTTTCCAGCAATTTTAAATTTGTAAAGCTTTTTGGTTATAAATAATCCTTACATATGTATTTAATGTACTTTAAATGGAAAGAAAACTTACAAATAACATATCACATTAGTTTAAAAGGGTCTTAGGCCAAGTAAGACTGAAAATAATTTAGGGTCAATTTAGGCCGTATCACATATTTACATTTAAAAATGCATATTGAAGCTATATGAAATAAAATTTTGTGTCTTTTCTATCATTTCTATACTCAGGTGACATGATACAATAAATCTGAGCACAAAAAGACTCTTGCATTCAACTTTTTTTGCAGACAGTATGGTCTGATACAAAGATTTTTCACTTTTTAGTGAAAAACATGCATGCAATTTTAGTCTCAACAGGCTAATATTTGAACCACTTGCTATGCTACAGAAGAAAAGAAAGATATTATGTGACATAAAACAGGTACAAAAGACATTGTTAAGTGCTTTTTATACAAATTTAGTGAGGTCTTTATAATGGACTTCAACTTTTATGTTCCAAGCTCCTCACATTTAACTTGATCCAAACAGGGTGTTAGACGAGGATCATATATACAACACATTTTGCACATATTGTCTAAGATAATCTTCTGTTCTGTAGATTCAGAGTTCTCAAATGAGTAATACAACTGGATTGAAGCATAGAAACACAAATATTGACTCATAAAAACCTGTCAGATAGAAATTCAGAATGCCACTTATGCATCAAATTTGAAAAAGCTATGAAATGCTTATTTTGACCATAAAATGCCAAAATTGGTCATTTTTGCAGAAATTCTATCAAATAAAAGTTTAAATCCTTTAGTTTTATGCTATTTGATAAATTGACACCATCAAATCATTCAGGGAAGTTGCAAAAGTACAGATTCTATATTTCCTGATTTCACCTCTTAGGTCCGAGTACACAGTTATTTCGTAGTGCATTTCTTTTAGACAATAAATGAAAATAAAAAAAATCCCACCTGCGCTTTCTCAATAATATTTTACAGTGTGTTGTACTACTTTTGGGACAAATTATATCAAAATTATAGAAAACTTCATCAGCTCTAACTCAAAATATGGACAATTTCATGCTAAGGGGGTCTTCAAATCTTTTGACAGCTTCCGAAGTGCTAATTTTAACATTTTTCAGCTGGACGAAATCACTACTTTACTTTAAAATTCATGACCCAAATTTGTTAACAGTGTCATTTCACCCCACTACTTACTATTTGAGTCATAAAACATGGAGAAATAAATTCGGAAGGGGTATAAAAAAATCGACAAGTAACACACTGTCCACACTAGGGACTACCCTACTGAAAATGAGTACGGGATTCCACTGGATTTCCAGTGAAATTACACTGGTATTCAGTGGAAAAAAATATTCCGATGGAATCCCATTAGAATTTCATCCAAAACATCTGGAATATTTTTCACACTATAATTCTAATGGAAAATCAGTGAAATTTCCAATGAAACTTCCAAAGATTTTCCAATTAATTTCCAGTGGAATATTATTGTTTTTATTTCAGTGGAGTTTTGATTTAATGCAAATATTCCAGTGGAATTTTGGACTTAGAAATTTAAAGGAATATATACTTCTAATTTAAATTTTTCAAATAGTTAAGTGCATGATTATTATATAAAGGATTTAATTTGTAACATATAATTTGCTGGCCTGATAAGAAATTAAATATTATAATCATGATAATATATGGGATGTAATGAATATTTCATAAACCTACATATATACATGTATATGAAACATTTGTTCAAAAAATGTTACATGGTTAAATGTAATATGAAATCACTTGCCTAGTAACAAATGAAAATAATCATTTGGTCTGAAAGAACCCCCCCCCCCCCCCCCCCCCATATAAAATAAG